GCAAGGAAGGGCAGGGGGAGAAAAAGAGAGAGAGAAAGAAAGAAAGATAAGCAGGTGGGTGAAGAAGGGACAGGACTGTCAGTAGCTAAGTAGCTCCAGCTATCTGGGAGGCATCAGAAGTGTTTGTTTCCTTTATATATCCCCTTCTCCAAATTTTTCTTCTATCAGACCGATTAGCTAACACTAGAACAGATTCAAATTAATTCCTCCCCTGGTGAAAGCATATGAAAGAGAATATGAAAAGAAAATGGAGGTAGACCTCAATAGATCAGTAATGCTTTATTAAGCAACAGAGGGTCATATTTTAGAAAGGAGAAAATGGTGGCGGGCTCCAACAAGGGTCTGGGTTTTATAGGGTTTAGCAGGGCCAGGTCAGTTGGTCAGTTATTTTTGGCAGGCTCATTTAGGGCAGGACAGGAGGGCAGGTAGGGGAACAGTTGTAGATCCCTGGGACCTATGGGGTGGGGGGTAAATTTCCATCTCCTTCACCTGGCACTCCTAAAGAGCCATTTAAATATTGTCTAAATCTCCTCCCCATATCATAGTGGGGACCAGAGTCCTCAGGTTACCCAGAGAATGAGTGGCTAAGCTGAAATTTGAATGTAGATTTCCAAGAAAATTCCCAGTGCTGTGAGACTTCAATGGGATTCAGGACAGAAACCTAGTGAGCTGAAAGCTGGACTGTGACAGGGAGGCCCCTTCCCCCAAGCCAGGCCAGGCGGAGCCAGGTATTTCTGTAGCTGAGCTGTAAAAATTGGGTCACTGGCCATTTACCTGATCTCTGCCCTAGAGTCCTCAGATTGGAATCTGAAGAGGCCACTATGTCCAGGACAGAGAGCAGGAACTGAAGGATGAGTTTTACCTGTTCCCACTGGTATAGGAGGGATTGAGACTGGGATCAGAACCTTACTTTTCTACTTCTGCAGGTGTCTTTGTTGAGTGGACACCAGAGACACCAGTGTTTCAATGCCCCTCCCTAGTTCAGGACAACTGATTTTCTGACCTCCTTCAGGAACATTTCTTTTTTTTTGGCAGAGGGTGGGGTGGGGTGGAGGATATCAGAGATTGAACTCAGGGGCACTCAATCACTGAGCCACATCCCCAGCCCTATTTTGTATTTTATTTAGAGACAGGGTCTCACTGAGTTGCTTAACACCTAGACAGGGTCTCACTGAGTTGCTTAACACCTAGTTGTTGCTGAGGCTGGCTTTGAACTCACAATCCTCCTGCCTCAGTCTCCTGAGCCGCTGGGATTACAGGCATGCACCACTGGGCCTGGCCAGGAACATCTCTTTAGGAACATCTCCTTAGTCTCCTCTGTATCTCTCCAGGTCACTTTCTGGAGGGAAAGGAGAATGACTTAGATGAGACCTACCCAGCACTCTTCCTCCCAGATCCCAGAGGTGTGTTTTCTGCGATAACATCTGGGGATGATGGCTTTGACCCTTAGTGCCTTACTTAGTCTTCCTAACTGGGGTCATTTAAGTTTACAAAACACTTAAAAAACAAAACAAACAAACAAAAACACAAAAACAAAAACAAAAAAAAAAAAAACAGAGTATGCTAGAGGAGCTTCCTGAAAGACCAGACAGGGGAGTTGCAAGACCAGATGGTCTCAGAAGACTGCCTGAAATGGGGGTGTGGGGGAGGGCAGAAACCAAGTTTTTGGGCTAGCCCCTCCTACCCAGGGGTCCCTGAGTTTTAGGGGTTGTTACCCTAATACAGACAAAAGATAGTTACTATATTCTGTGCAGCAAAGAGTAGAGTCTGAAAAGATGAAGGGTTTTTTTGTTTGTTTATTTGTTTTGTTTTTAAGAAACTTGATGGAGAAAGGAAAGATCAAGGAGGAATTATCTAGAAGGGCCTCAGGGTTCTTGGACAATACTTAACTCAGGAGTGCCATAGGGGCTGGGGATGTGGCTCAAGTGGTAGCACGCTCACCTGGCATGCGTGTGGCCCAGGTTCAATCCTCAGCACCACATACAAACAAAGATGTTGTGTCCGCCAAAAACTAAAAAAATAAATATTAAAAAAAAGGAGTGCCATATAAGCCAAAGGAAATATAAAAACGTATTCCCTCAACCTTGCATTCTCCTCTAGATAATCCCTTCTTTCTTTCTTATTATTAATATTTGATACTTGGAATTGAACCAAGGGGTGTTTTACCACTAAATCACATCCCCAGTCTTTTTTTTTTTTTTGATTCAGGGTCTCTAAGTTGCTGAAGGACCCTGAATTATGCCTTGACCTCCAAAGTAACTGGGATTATAGGCCTGTGCCACTAATCCTAGGTTTATCATTCTTTTCTCTACCCAGTTTCTAAAAAACAGTCTTATTTTCTCATCCTCTACTCTCAGCTGCACAAAAATTATAGGATGTCTTTTGCCCTGTATTAGTCAGTAACCTTGTTTGCTATAACCCTCAACTCAGTGGCAAACAACCCACAAGCTCAGTGGCTTGGTATTATAATCCATGGTGTATATTTGGGATGGGGGTAAGTTTTGCTCTATGCAGCATTCAGGGACCTAGGCTCCACAGTCCTAGTGGCTCTACCATTCCTTAAGGCTTCAGAATTCTCTACTATGTCCTCTGTAATTATGGTAACATGAGGATCAAAAGACAACATAGGTGGGTATGGTGGTGCACATCTTTAATTCCAGCTACTTGGAAGGCTGAGGCAGGAGGATCATGAGTTCAAGGCCTGCATAAGCAATTCAGCAAGATCCTGTCTCAAAATAAAAAAATACAAAAGGGCTTGGGTGTTGGGGATGTGGCTCATGGGCTAGGGATGTGGGTGAGTAGTAAAGTACCTTGCCTGGCATTCATAAGGTCCTGGGTTTGATTCCCAACGCCACCAAAAAAAAATGTGTGTGTGTGTGTGTGTGTGTGTGTGCGCGCACGCGCGCACACATGTGCCTGTAACTGTGGATGTAGCTCAGTAGTACAGCACTTGTCTAGCATGTGCAAGGCCTTGGGTGTTCAATCCCCAGTACTGTTAGGGAAAAAGGGAGAGAGAAAGAATGTAAAGAATTTCACAAGACATTTTAAGAGCCAGATCTGGAAGTGGCATTTAATTTCTGCCTATATTTCATTGCCTAGAATACAATCACTTGGCTTCATCTAAATACAGAGTAGAATGGAATATAATCTGGTTGCTCAAGAGCAAAAGGAGGGCTGGGGATGTGGCTCAGGCGGTAGCGCGCTCGCCTGGCATGCGTCAGGCCCGGGTTCCATCCTCAGCACCACATACAAAGATGTTGTGTCTGCCGAAAACTAAAAAATAAATATTAAAAAAAAAAGAACAAAAGGAAATGGGTTCATGAATGTAGTCTTGGAGACAACACTCATTTCTCTGCCACATGCCCCTACTGAGAAATCTAATGATTATTTCCCATTGTCTTATTGAACCTCTCAATTATATTTATGCTGGCCCTTCATTCTATCACTCCCATGTGTGAGACTATTCTCTTCTACATCCTTTATGTTTTATTCATATAACACATATAATGACCACCATGTGCCATACACTAATTGCTTTAAAAATATTTACTCAATCTTTATTACCATAAAGGTATGTGCTTTTATTTGTTCCATTTTACAGATAAGAAAACTGATTCAGAGAGTTTAAGCAATTTGTCGAAGATCACACTATTAGGTGGTTTTGAGCCAGGCTTTGAACCTGGCTGTCCAGCTTCAGAATTTATATATTAATCACAGCACTATGCTGCCTCTTTTTTCTCTTTTGCTTCTCTTCGTTTTTGTTCTTTTCTTCCTCTGCCTATCCCTTAGGGTTGGTGTTCTCTAGAACACTGTCCTTCACCTTATCTTTTCAATTCTCCCTCCTTTTGAGATTTTATCCATGTTTTAGGGTTTTTTTAATTGGTGCATTGTAGTTGTATATACTGGTGGGATTTGTTGTTACATATTTGTACATGCACACAATAGACAATATAAGTTTTGGCCAATATCATTCCCGAGCACTTTCCCCCTCCTTCCCCATATTTTAGGTTTTTTTTTTATATTTTATTTTTTAGTTTTCGGCCAACACAACATCTTTGTTTGTATGTGGTGCTGAGGATCGAACCCGGGCGTTTTAATTACCATCTTTTCTGTAGGATTCCCAGTGAGATTTCTAAACTGGAATGAGATCATGCTTGCACTGTTTAGAGCCATATCCCTGAAAGAATGACAACTCCTATCATCTACCTCGACTGGATCTGAACTTCAGAACCGGACACTCAAGTGCCTATTAGCCAACTATAGAGAAGGTGTGGGAATGGGCTGGAGAGAAAAGAGTATTTCAGGAAGAAGAGAGAGGAAGCCTACTAACTCTGGATATTTCCAGAGTTCTGAAGCCCTTTCTTTTTTTCCGTCTCCAATAACAGAGACCTGTTTCTTACCTGGATCATAGTCATGATTTCCTCAACTCACACCTTGCTCCCTTCCATAGCCCTGTGCCACTCTGTGGCAAGATCCAATTCTATCGCTGCCCTCCTGATACCTGGGATGACCCTCCATGGGTTGCAAGGCCACCTCTCACATTTCGTGCTTTGGAACAAAGAATAAATTGTAGGCCCCTGAAGACTCCATGCTGTCTTCTCGGCCTCTGTTCCCGGAGTGGGTCCCGCTGACTGGAATGCCCTCCAAGTCTCACTAATGTCACCGCCTCTGGAAAGCCTTCCCTAACGCTCAAGGATTGCACTACCTCCTCCAGGTTTCTGTGCTTTCAAAGGCGGACCCAATCACGAGTCGCAGGAGGCTCTACTTCCGGGCTCGCCAGCTAGAGAGCCCATCTGGGTCTCTCCGCCGCCCACCCCCATCATCATCTCGCGCAGCGGAGGAAAGACCCTCCCTGAAAACCCTAACGCCCGCAGCCGGAGGTTAGCCCACGCCCTCCCCTCACGTGAGCTGTGCCGCCCCACGTCTCTACGCGCTTGGCGAGGAAATGGTTCAACCGAAGGGGCGGTGCTAGGGTGCCCGAACTGTTCCGATTGGCCAAGGCGTGCCATACCACGGTGCTGGCAGGGGAGCGAGCGGTGGGCAGCCGGCGGCAGGCTCGGAGGCAGAGTCGCAGCCCCAGCCCCAGTCCCAGCCCCAGCCTCCCTCCTGCGCTGCCCACCAGGATGCAGTGGGCCGTGGGTCGGCGGTGGGCGTGGGTCGCACTGCTTCTGGCTGCGGTGGCAGTGCTGGCCCAGCTTGTCTGGCTCTGGCTGGGTACGCGGAGCTTCGTCTTCCAGCACGAAGAGATCGCGCAGCTAGCGCGGCAGTACGCTGGTGAGCGGGCTGAGGGCGGGAGCGGAGCGGGGCGGGAGCGGGGCGGGCGGCCCTGGAGGGGAGCCGAGGTTTCCGAGGGCGCCGTCCGTCCGGGAGGCCGGGCCTGGAGCTTGCCTTGACTCTGCTATTCCTCCGTTTCCGCCAGGGCTGGACCACGAGCTAGCCTTCTCTCGGTTGATCGTGGAGCTGCGGCGGCTGCACCCAGGCCACGTGCTACCTGACGAGGAGCTGCAGTGGGTGTTCGTGAACGCGGGCGGCTGGATGGGTGCCATGTGCCTTCTGCACGCCTCGCTGTCCGAGTACGTGCTGCTCTTCGGCACAGCCCTGGGCTCCCGCGGCCACTCGGGTCAGTGCTAGCGGCGGGCCAGACTGGGAGGCTGGGGCTATACAAGGGCCCAAGTCCTCCTTTCTGGTATTTGGCTGGGCAATATGATAGTGCGGATACCCTAATTGTTGGTGTCCATCCGATTATCACTTAGGGCGCTATTGGGCTGAGATCTCAGACACGATCATTTCTGGCATCTTCCACCAGTGGAGAGAGGGTACCACCAAAAGTGAGGTATTCTACCCAGGTGAGTTAGGAGACTCTATCAGAGAGGTGGGTGCCCTCATGAAGCGGGGGGCAGGGAGTGGAGGGTGTGAGGGGAGCAGGGGAGGGTATACAGTTGGGGAAGGGAGGGGGCAGGGAGTGGCCCTCCCCATGGTTTTCTCCCTGTCCCCTTAGGCCACAAGTGGTTGGGGGCTAGATCTGAGGGACCTTATTGCTCTCCTATGTTAAAGGAACACAACATGTAATAACTTCCTATTAAGCATGTCTGATGTTATTTGCCTAGACACTGTTTTACCCAGCCAATATTCTAGCAATTGCTGGGGAAAAAAATTGGTTCTCAGCAACACTCTTACACCCAGATATTATAAGACAGTTGTCTCCCTCACCTTTTTTTTTTTTTTAATAATGAAGCAATTTACATAAAAAGTAGAGCTTTGGGCTTCCAAGTAAGTTTGAGGTTGAATGTAAACATATAGAAATTGTGATTGAACAGAAAGCCTTGCAAGTCTTGTAACCAACCCTCCATATCTAACCAGCCAAGCCCAAGTTTAGCTAAATTTCCAGTTGATATTTATGAGACTTGGAAATGTAGACTTCCACTCAGTAACCCTTGGCCAAGATGGGTAGCCCTTCATGGCTTCCCCCAAGAGAGAACATGAGCCCCCACAGAAGATTTAGGATTGGTTGTCTGAGTCATTTTCCCTTCAAGATAGGAGATCAGTCCAGTGAGGTAAGAAGACCTTTTCCTTTCCTGAAACTGTCTCTTCAGTTCCCACCCCCAGATAAGGATACTTACCATGGGCCAGGGAAGCACAGCAATGGAAGGGCAGAACAGAGCTGGACTCCTCACATGGGTGCTCCCTTTCCTCCAGGGGAAACAGTGATGCACGGGCCTGGCGAGGCAACAGCTGTGGAGTGGGGGCCAAACACATGGATGGTGGAGTACGGACGGGGTGTCATCCCATCTACCCTGGCATTCGCACTGGCTGACACTGTCTTTAGCACCCAGGACTTCCTCACTCTCTTCTATACCCTTCGCTCCTATGCCCGGGGCCTCCGGCTTGAGCTCACCACCTACCTCTTTGGCCAGGACCCCTGACCATTCAGGCCTGAAGGAAGATCTGTGGATGGACAGGAGCAGGCAGGCCTGCAGACATCCACTTGCTGGAACCCATGTACAGACAGGGACATACTCAAACCATACAGATACTGAGGTCCTGCTGGACAAGGAGGGACATAACATGCTTATACATCCTATACAGAGACCCATGGGAACAAATGGGACATATATATTAGATGCCAAGACCTGTGTGTACTGCGGGATCATGCACTCACTCATCCAGAGAGGGAGTCCCACGTATACCTAGGGGGCCAGTCATGTTTCAACACATATCACAAGCTTCACTCACTAACTCAGGCCTTTCCAGAGATTCCTGTCTGCAATCGGGCTCTGGAGTTAAGGGTGGGGTGAGTATTATTACACTCTGCCTCTGCCTGACTCCTCAACCCAGCAGTAATCTGGGAAGGGGGGGTGGGTAAAGGGGAAGAGGAGCTGCCTATTGGAGGCCCCCTTCACCTACAGCTATGATGTCCTTCCCCTTCACCTCCCTGTCCTCACCATATGCCTTATCCCCATTCCACTTCCCTGCTATGCAAGTGCCCCTGCAGCTTGTCCCCCACCCTCTCAGCAACCAAGTCAGTTGGGGAACCAGAGGAATGTAGAGAATGCTGAATTAAAGGTCCTCCATCTCCGAAAGACCCCTGTCCTTCCCTTGGGGTATGATGGGAAACTTGGGGTCTCACCACTGAGGAGAGGCCTGAAGAGGTAGGCCTGGGTCCAAGGGGCCTTCTCTGGCCTAGAGAAGGTTTTCTCTGTATGTGCGCACGCACACCACCATCACCATTTCCAGAACACTGCCTGTGCTATATTCTCTGTCCATCTGTCTGTCTGTGTTAATAAAGACCTATTGAACAGTTCCATTTCTTTGTGTGTCTGAGCAGCAGAGAAAGCCATAATTTCTGGGGGACCTCAGGAGGCCTCTCGCTTACAATTCAGTTTATAAAACAATGGCTTTGGACTGTAGTAGGAACTGTGTACTTGATTGTGGCTAGGAATTACTTAGGAGGCTCACTGAGTCCACAGATCACTGAGCTCCATCCTGAGAGGTCAGTCTTTCTGAGGTGAGGCCTTGAAATTATCATGTGTAATAAGATCCCTTCCAACACAAATTTGGACCTGAGTGAGGTGTCTTTACTGTGCTGGTACAATTCTAGGAACAGTCTTCCGAATCCAGCCCTGGATGGCCATGGGGTGGCAGTGTATACCCACTTTTGAGCTAAAAGGCATCATTCTCAAGTCTGCTTTTTTTCTGGGTTCCCAGAATATGGCATCCATCTGCACTTAGGGCAGGAGTACCTCCATTCTGTGTTCTCCTTTCAGTAGGACCCAGCACTTCTGTGGAGGAAGCTGGAGTGGGGAGCAGACACTGTACCTGTGGTATGAGAATTAGATAGGGCTAGGACTAAAGTGCACTCACATCAAAAGACCTATTCTTAACATTTATACTCTAGGCACCAAGCTTTCCTCACCTGTCTTGCCCCTCTTGTGTTAAGTAAGGCCCAGACTAATCCCACCTTTTAGAATTCCGGGTATGTTAAAAATGGAAGAGAGCCAAGCATGGTGGCTCATGCCCCCTAATCCCAGCGGCTTGAGAGGCTGAGGCAGGAGGATTGCAAGTTCGAAGCCAGCCTCAGCAACTTAGGGGGTCCTAAGCAACTCTAAATAAAATATTAGAAAGGGCTGGGGATGTGTCTCAGTGGTTAAACACTCCTGGGTTCAATTCCTGGTACCAATAAATAAATAAAATGGAAGAAACATAGTTATAATTTTATATAGACATTTTTAAATTTGATATTCTAATGAACACATACTAAAGACTACATGTATAACTTCATTTGAAAATGACATCAAAAGTTCAAATTTAAAAATCTAAACGGGTGGCTTTAAATTACTATGAAGCCCAGGCAAGTTGGCCTTCTCAGATACTACTATATTGGCTATAACAGGCCCTCCTGGCTGGGGCTTCTCTATTGATCCTGGGTTGCAATATCATACCTCTACGGAGGATTTCTCCCACCTGGTAAAAACAGCTCTGCTTCTAGGCTCAGAGCATATATCTGTCAGATATGTCCCAGTGCCCATTCCCCCCCCCCTCCACCAATGACTAGACTTCCAAGATCCTCTGCATTTTTGTTGCTAAGTCCAGTACTCTTTTCATAGTTCTCACCTTTCTTTTGACAAAAGCAATCACTTCTAAAACACTTTCAGGTTCTAGGATACTTTTTTCCTTTATTGCCTCTTTTGTCAACCCTATCTCCTCAACTTCTGACTTCTGAGGACTTGGTCCTTAAACTTTTTATGTACCCTCCCAAGTGATCTCAATTTATTTCATGACTTTAAATACTATCTATATATCTTGACTTCTAAATCTTTGTCTCAGCCTACATCTCTTCCTGGAGTTCCATCTCTACTGAACATTTTGACTTGGCTGTTTAATAGTTATCTCATACTTTAGATGCTAAAGTAAACTGATTTCTCTCCCAATCCTGGCCCATTCCACTCACTATAGTCTTTACTCTCTAATTTAGGACACTCCCATTTATTCAGCTCTTGGAGTTCTCTTAGACATCTCTCATTCTTTTCTATCCCATATATGATCCATCAATGAATCTGTTTTATTTTCAAAACATATCCAAACTCTAGCCACTTCTTGCCAACTTCACTGCAACCACTCAAGACAAAAACACCATTATCACTTGCCTGGACCACTGCAATGACCATGTAAACTGATCACGCTTGCTGTTTCTCACACAGCAGCTAGAGGCAGACTTTCAAGCTCCTGAGACATTTCCAATGGTTTTGCATCTCATTGTCCTTTCACCCCCTCCATTGGCCTACTCCAAGTCCATGTTACCTCTGACCAAGCATCCAACTCACTCCCAACTACTGTAGGACCAGTGGCCTAGCTTCTCTTCCAACACATCAAGTACTCTTCTACCTCAGGATATTTGCATTGTCTATTCTGACTTCAAAGCTCTTTCCTATATATCTTTTTAAAATATATATATATATATATATTTACTTGTACATGAAAACACAGTATCTTTATTTATTTTTGCCTGGTGCTGAAGCTTGAACCTAGTGCCTCACACATGCAAGGCAAGCACTTTACCACTGAGCCACAGCCACAGTCCCTCCTATATATCTTTATAGCTCTTGTCCTTCCCTTTTTTAATTCCTGATCAAAGAGTCCTTCACTTAACACTTACATAATAGTATCCCATTCTATGGTGGTTTTTAAAATACCTCCACAAATTTCTTTTTCTGTGAGTGCTGGGGATGTTACCCAGATCCTTGTGAATGTTAAGCAAGTGCTCTACCCCTGAGCTGCACTCCAGCTCACTCTGCAAAAAGTTTTGGTATTCTTCCATTCAAAAGGTAAAGTCTAATTTCCTTCTCTTTGAGTGTGGACTAGACTTACTTATGTACTTTAACAATGTATGTGACAATGTGTGACTTTTAGAACTGGGCCATAAAAAGCATTGCAGCTTCTTTAATCTCTTTTGGATCACTCTGAGAGAAATCACCTGCCTTTTCAAGAGGATACACAAGCAATCCTGTACAGCGGTCCATGTGGGGGACAAACAAGCCTCCTATCAATAGCTTGAAAGTGAATTTTCCAGCCCCAGTCAAGGCTTCAGATGCAGCCCTAGCCAACATTTTTACTATAGTCTCATAAAAGACAATTAATGAGTCAGAACCACCTAGCTAAGCCACTTGTGAATCCCCAACTCATGGAATTGTGAGAAAATAATGTTTGTTTTAAGCTTCTAAGTTTAGTGGTAATTTGTTACACAGCAATAGATAACCAATACACTTTCCAGTTTCTATTCCCTTCTCCATGGTATCTATCACCATCAGACACAATGTATATTTCCTCCACTAGAATTATGTATTATATCAAGGACTTTGTTTTATTTACACCTGTGTCCAGCAGTTTCTGGCATAAAGTAGGTACTCAATAAATATGTGTTGGATTAATGAAGTATTGGTTTCTTCAGGTCTAGATTATTTTGTTTGTCTTTGTCTCTGTAAAGTATAGGGCCAGACTATTGTGTGGGTGTGAGAGGCAGCCTTTCCTTTTCACAGATGAAGAGAGAAAAACCAGGTTCTATTCAGGCTTATTCCTTCCCCTTAACCCTTCCCAGTTGTAGCCCTCCCAGCTCAGACCACAAAGGTGTGTTTATTTTGCTTGATACTTTTTATTTTGAAGGGAAAGGGGTAGCTGCTCAGTTCCATTCCTCCCACAACCCAAACTCTGCAAAAAGCAATCTCCAAACCCTCAGAACTGAATTTCCCTAAGCAAGTTCCTACCTTTTCAAGAGAAAACTTATCTATCTCTCTAGAAATTGTGAGCAGCCCTGGGAAGCTGGGGAAAAGAGAAGCAAGCTGGACACTGGAGTTCCATGGATTTCTAAGCTCTGCCTTCTAGTCATCTACAAAATGAGGAGGGCATGATTATTGGCCTCTGCATTCACCAGTTCTCCCCTCTGTGGGCCCAGCATAAGGGTGAGTGGGCAGAGAAGGAGATTTGGCTCTACCTCAGGAGAAATCATAGCCAACTCCTATGGGGAAGTGGTGGAATTTTCCATAGAGAGCAAGGACTTAGATCTGGGCTGCAGAGAAGGAGGAAAGCAAGCATCCAACATAGATCCTGGTAAGAAGAACCGATGGTCTGGGCTGGGGCAAGCTGAGGCTGAGATGAGTGGACTGATTTGAAGAGCGGGAGGGAGGAGCAAAGACAAGGTCATTCCTAGATTCCTGCCCTCTAAAGGAATCATGGCCCTGGGCATATGGGCCTCACTGGATATGAGGTCACCCAGGGACCTCATTGAGAATGGTCCTTGGTACTGCATACCCATACTATGTTTCACCCTTTCAGACACCTACTATTCCCTCACCTTAGGATGGTCATCATGCCTTTGGTAGGTAGAGGTCTCCTTGGGCACCGAATAAAACTGGAAAAGTATAGGGGTGGTGCCCCAGAGGAATAGGGTCCAAGCTGCTCAGAGAAATCATGGCCTGGCACCTAGGAACCCCAATAAAGGAACCGCATCTGGTGGATAGTTGGGGTAGGGTGGGACCAAAGCAATTGACTGAGGGGAAATAGAGATTTGGGTGTCAGGAACACACAAGTGGAGAATGTGTGTGAAAGTGGGCAAAATGCTGATCCCTTGTGAAACAAACAAATGATGAGTGCCTGGGGCTCATTATACTCTTAATTCTTCTCCTGTGCACCTTTGGAAATATATAATAGAATGTCAAGAAATTTTTTAAAAGACAGAACTGTATGTAGTTGTGTAGTTGCATGTGGTGCTTATACCTTGCTGCAGGTGCATAGGCAGCTCAAAGACTTCCGAGTGTGGTAGTACATAGGTGTGGATACATCGCCATATGCACACCTGTGTGTAAACTGCATCATGCATGCAGTTGAGGACAGCATGTGGACAGAGCAGGAGAAGAAGCTTCTGTTCTGGCCAGGCTCAACACTCACCCCAGTATCCCGCAGAATGATTCACCTAGTGATCACAGCCAGCCCAGGTCTCCGACGCTGTAGTGCCATGGAACCCAGTGTGTAAAATTGAGCAGCTGTGTGCCTGAACTTATGACAGGTGTGTTGGTGTGTGAAAGCGGCTGTTTGTGTGTGCATGCCCGGCACTGAGTATGGGTGTCGGGTGTCTTGGTGAGGTGGGGCGGGGTCCTAGTCCAGAGTCCAGCGACCGTGGACACCTCATGCTCCCGATTTCCCATGGCTCTCCAGCGCCCCTCCCCCGGAGTCTGGCTGTAAGGAAGGTGGGAGACACCTGTTGGGGGGTTGAGAGAAGCAGAGCCCACAGGGGCCTCTCCCCGCTGCATCCCCGCCCGCCTTCCGGGCTCGGGTCCCGCCCCCGCGACCGCAGCCAGCAGATCTGCCGCGAGTGAGCGCGCCACTGCCAGAGAAGCGCAGGACGGCAAGAGCGCACGGCGGCGGGGACCCTGAGCCAGGAACCAAGCGAAAGCAGGGGCCGCCCCCGAGGCGGGCGGAGCAGAGGGACCGCCGTGGAGACACCCGGGGCAGCGGGCCGCGCCAGGCCGGTGAGTGCGGCTGTCGGCTGTCGGGTGCCGGGAGCCAGAGAGCTGGGCGCAGTGACTCCGCCACCTCCTGCCCGTCCGGTCTCGTCCCGCTCCCAATCACTGCCCCCACCGCCCTCTGTTCCTGCACCTGCTTGATTCTTGTCCTTTGCCTGCCCTATTTCAGTCTGTTTTTGCCTGTCCCAGTCTCTCCGTCTCTGTGTCTCGCCCCATCTCTTTCTATTACCTCTCTTCTGTCTGTCTTCTGCTGCGTCGTCGGTCTTTCCTTATCTCTCTCAACCTGTCTCTATTGGATTCACTCTGTCTCTGTCTCTATCTGGACTGCCTGTCACTTACATCCTTTATTTCTTGTTCTTCTCTCTTACCCAATGTCATTCTACCCAATGTCTATCAATCTCATCTTTTCCCATCTATGTTTCTGTCTAATCTCTGTCTCTCTCCATCTTGGTCTCTCTCAGGTCCACTTCAGTCTCTCCTTGTCCCATCTCCATCTCTATCTGTGTATCTCTGTTATATTCAATCAATCTCCCCACCCCCTCTCATATCTCTCTTCCCCTCTCCTCTATCTCCCTTGGTCCTTGTCACCCTCTATGATTTGCTTAGCCTCTCCCTGTCCTCAGTCATGGCTATTTCTTACTCCCTGGGTCTGGTCTCTGTATCTCCTGTTTTTTCTATCTCTGTCTCTGTACATCTCTGGGAAAGCTCTGTCTTTATTTTTTTTTTAAGACCCCCTGCATGTCCCTGAATCCATGACCACCTCCCTTGTGTTGGGGGGGTGTAGGGCAGCAAGGCCCAGCACCCATAATTCCCTCCCCCACAGATGGCCCTTTCCTCTGGGCCCCGCCTGGTAGCAGGGCCGACCCCAGCAGGGGGACTGCGCCTGGAAGCTGTAATGGAGGTCCTGCAGAGACAGCAGGCTGCTCGTCTGGCCCAAGGGGTGGGGCCCTTGGTTCCTCCACATCCACCGCTGCCATCCCGACCTCCCTTTCCTAGTCCCCAGACCCTGCAGGCTCCAGAGGGGGCCTTAGGGGAAATTGGGGCTGATGAAGAGGAGGATGCTGAAGAGGATGAGGAGGGGGAGGAAGCTGGAGCAGAGCAGGAGGCAACTGATGAGAGTTGTCCAAGGGCCCAGGGCCCCAGCTCACCTTCCAGCCAGCCCCTTGGACCCCATCCCCACGAGTGGACCTATGAGGAACAGTTCAAGCAGGTAGGATTCCCTCACTGTAAGGGTTCCCCTCTTCCTTCCCTCTGGGCAAAAGCAGAGCCGGGTGATCAGTAGTCCCTCCATCCCCAACACCCTCTAAAGGAAGGAAAGGCAGAGAGAGAGAGAGAGAGAGAGAGAGAGACAAGACTGGGGGATAGACAGGGTGGGAAAGACACTCAGATATGTGGAAAGTGCACTAAAACAATTCTAAGAGATGCAAAGACACCCCAAAACACGGAGACTGACAAATTGGAAGCCATTAGTGAGTCCATAAGAAAGGTGGGAGGTGTAGAGGGCTTTAAGGGAGAGGGTTCTGGGCTTGGGAATTCCTGTACCGCACCATTCTACCTACTCTTTCACACATCAAGTCACCAGGGCCAGTAGGAGTGTCCCATACCATTTCCCTCTGTCTTTGGAGGCAGAATAGATATTGCCACTCCCTTGGCAGGCTGGTACACCCCTCCTCTTTCCTATCACACCACTCTCCCATCCAAATGTTCTACCTGGCCTAAACTTCATGGATGATAGTTCCCAGTCTGTGTTGGCCACTACAGCTACAGTGTGACTAAAAGGCCGCTATGCAGCTGAGAATGGCAAGACTTACTCACATGACCTTAATTCAAGGTTCTTTCTCCCTGAGAAACCCTCTGGGTTTTATTCTAAGGATACTAGTCCAGGCTGTCACTATGAAGGTGTTACTCAGGTCTGTGACTCCAGGTGTGCTATTCTGGCAGCATTACTTGCAGGGTGTTTGTTGGTCTTCAATGTTTTCTAGATGTCTTCATCTGTGGCTAGAACTCTGTGGCATTAGTGTAAGAATGTGTTATTCGGGGTCCTGTTACTCCAGAGATATGGCCCTCGTGACTGTTACTCTGGGACTTATTACTTGGAGAGTGTGAATATTATTTATAGCTATTCATCTAAGACCAGGGCTCTGTGTTGTGGGCATGAGACTCTCCAGGTTTTGTTACTCATGGGTGATCTTTTCTCTGAAAGTTCTTATTGGGGGATGGAGTGTTACCTATAGGTGTTACTCAGGGACTGTTATTCTGGGTCAATGACTATTACTTTGGGAATTGCTCTTCTTAGATTTGAGAGGTGATGTTTGGGACGGGGTCTAGGTGACTAGGAATTAGAAGGATGACTGGTAGGTCCCTCATCCCTTAACCCCTCGGGTCCTGTGGCACTTGGCCAGTGCCTCTGTGGCAGCTTCCTCAGTAGGCAGGGTAACTGCCTCTGGAAGCTCAGGCCAGAAGGTCAATCCAGGAGTCCCTGAGCATCCTTCCTGCCTTTTACACAACACAAACCCAGGAACACAAGGATGTGAACAGCATGAGGGCCTTGCACATGAATGAGAATGAATGATCCTCAGACACACAGCAGTTTCCTCAGAGTGGAACACAAACCTAGTCTGGCTTCTTTCCTAGGGAATGTCCTCTCCGAGGACAGGATAAGCAGCCCGAGCTTCTTCCTGCTTCCCCTCTTCCCTATAATTTCCCTATGAGTGTTTTGAGATGCCCAGAGCACCATTAGCCAGGATGGGTCTGTGTATTTTAGAAAAAGGCACCCCTACCTACCCCTGGGATGGGCCTAATACCAGGGGGTCCATATTCAGGCCCAACTTACCCCTTCAGCTAGGGACTCTTGTTCAGGGTACAACCTGAATTGGGGTCCCAGGGGAGGGGGTTCTGTGGAGCTAAAGAGTGACCCTGGTCCTTTCCCAGTTGTATGAACTTGATGCAGACCCCAAGAGGAAGGAATTTCTGGATGACCTGTTTAGCTTCATGCAGAAGAGGGGTGAGTGAGGTGATGCAGGGAAGGACTTAGAATTGCCCCCATTTACCAGGTTTGAGGAAGGGAGACACCAGGATGTAGTCCCCAGGTGGGGTCCTCCCAGCAGGGGCCTAGGGTTGGCAGTACCTGTCCTTTAGGCCTTCAATAGTGTCTTTAACCTCTGACCCTGCCCCCCTTCTCCACCCCAGGATTAATTAGTCACCAGCCCACTGGCAGCTTAATGAGTGTGGAATCAATTGGGAGGGTGGGAGGAGGAACTGATGGGTGACTGGCTTGGGGTGGGGTGGGGTCCCAGTACTAGAGGGTTGGTAATGCCTTAATTCTCTATAGTAGGGGGCCAGTTCCTCCAACCTTGTCTTTCTCAGTTTTCCCCTGCTTCAGTCAGGGAATTCCCCATGTGCTCTGTAGCAGGAAGGACTAGGATTAGACTGAAGGAAGGACTTCCCAAGGGGTGGGCTGGGGGACCATGTAAGTATGGGAAGTTGGCAAGGAAGGACTTCCCAAGGGGTGGGCTGGGGGACCATGTAAGTATGGGAAGTTGGCAGAGAAGGAATTCCTTTCCAGAGCTGGAAGAAATAATGCAAGAAGGGTCCAGGAGGGGATCAGGGTGGGCCGCAGTTCATCACTTCAGCTTCTCCCCAGATTCATGGGACTGAACACTGACTCATTATCTCTCTCTACAAAGCTAATTAACTCACTCAGAGCGCAGCCTGATAAGCCGCTAATTAACTGGCTGCACTGCAGCCCCCCCTTCCCTTAGTGCAGCTGCTGGTCCAAGTCTCCCTGGACCACCACCCAGGCCCAGCGTCCCTTTCTGTCCTTCCCAGGGACACTTGGTGGGGTCCAAGGACCTCTTGCTCCCCAGGGAACACTGGTTATTCTGGTCCCAGTGTCCCCTCTCTACCTCTTCCTTGGGGCCTTCTCTACGCTGAGAATGGGGTGGGATAGTCTGAGCTGATCCCAGCACTACCCACACCCCCAGCTCTGCCTCCTTTTAAGTCCCTGCTTCCCTCTTCTGGGCTGCCCGGTTGTGGGGTGGGGAGTGGGGGAGGGCGGTCCCGCAGGGCCGATAATTTCCCCCCATTAATCAGGCCGCAGCTAATTGTTCGGGTCCAAAGGCGGCGGTGGAGGGGGGACGGGATCGGTAAGGAATTAACTGGGGCCCATCGCTCAGCGTAGACAGGCCCTTTTGTCAGGACTGGCTGGCGGGGGTGGCGCTGGCTGCAGAGTTGGCGGGGCCCAGGCAGGAACTGATTCTTTTCCACCTGCCATGGTTCTCCACCCCCGCTCCCCTCCACCTCAGCCTTGGGTAGCCATTGGGGGCTGCTGTTTAAGGGAATTCAGCTCTTCCCTAGTCCTTCCTACAGTCTACCCCGGGGATTGACGGGCAAACTAAAGCTTTCAGGCCAAATCCAGTTGCCTTCGAGATATAATGGTTTTCTTTCTTTCTTTTTTTAAACCTATTTGGAAAATAGAATTAAAAAAGGAATAACATTTGTAGCTTGTGGAACTCAAATTTCAGAGCCTGCAAATAAAGTTTTATTGGAACACATTTGCACCCATTCTCTAGTAGGTATTCTCCAAGGCTGCTTTCAGACTACAATTGTAGAGTTGACTAGTTGTGACAGAGATCTATTGGCCTGCAAAGCCTGAAATATTTACTATCTGGCCCTTTACAGAATAAGTTTGCTGACCCCTGGTCTAGACTCCTGTCCTTCCTGCTACGATAGAGGCTCTGGAGGATCTGGGGGCTCTGCCTGTAATCCTACCTCCCTATCCCTCTGCCTTCCCTCTCTAAGCCTAGCGCAGGCACTCAACTCCCTCAGTCCCCAGGGATGCCCTCAGACAGGGCCTACTTGGTGTTCTGACTCTCTGCCTACTCCCCATCAGGGACACCAGTGAATCGTGTGCCCATCATGGCGAAGCAGGTGCTGGATCTGTATGCGCTGTTTCGCCTGGTGACCGCTAAGGGCGGCCTGGTGGAAGTCATCAACCGAAAAGTGTGGCGGGAGGTCACGCGGGGCCTCAGTTTGCCCACCACCATCACCTCAGCCGCCTTCACTCTCCGCACCCAGTGAGGCCTGGGGTGCTGGCGAAAGGGAAGGGCACGCAGGGTAGGGGGAGAGGATGTGGAGGGCGGCGCGGTGTGGGACTTGACCGGCTGGGCCCAGCCTCCCTTCCCTGCCCCGATCCGCCTCTAGGTACATGAAGTACCTGTACCCGTACGAGTGCGAGACGCGGGCGCTCAGCTCCCCGGGGGAACTCCAGGCCGCCATAGACAGCAATCGGCGCGAGGGCCGTCGCCAAGCTTACACCGCAGCTCCGCTCTTCACCTTAGCAGGGCCACCCGCTAGGGGCGCTCCCGGCCCCGCCTCTGGCCCTGGCCCAGCCCCGCCCGCGCCTCTCTCCGGCCCTGGTTCCGGACCCGCCCAGGGTTCCGCCTCTGGCCTACCAGCGCTTGCTTGCGCCCAGCTGAGTCCCAGCCCTATTAAGAAAGGTGAGAGGAACCCAGGAGGCTTTGGGGGCGGGGTGGTTTTGAGGTCTATGCGTGCTCTGAGATGTAGGAAACATTAATGAAAGGATTTTGCGGGACACGGGTTGCAAGTTCAAAGGCAGCAAGACCATTTAGCAACATAAATGGTCAACATAAAAAATAAAAATGGCTGGGGATGTAGCTTAGTGGAAAAGCACGCCTCAGTCCAAATAGAATAGGTAAATAAATAAATCAATAGTGGGGGCTGGGGTTGTGGTTCAGTGGTAGAGCACTTGCCTTGCATGTGTGAGGCACTGGGTTCCATCCTCAGCACCACATAAAATAAATAAATAAAATAAAGGTATTGTGTCCATCAACAACTAAAAATATTTTAAGAAAGAAAAAAAGAAATAGTAGGGATCCTGAGGTCTGGGAGGCATTGCAATTTGGGAGCAACAAGACTTGACTGGGCTCTGAGGTTTGAGTATTGCTAAGGTATAGAAGTCCTGAGGTTTGGAGTCAATAAAGCCTTGACTCCAAGCTTAACCCGGTGTACCAGGTACCAAGCTCAGGAAAAGGTCCATAGCAGCTTTATCCATAGCAGCTTCATTCCACCCCTATGCACCCAGGACTCCTGTTTGCATGTGGTCTGCCTCCTTATGTCTTGGATTATTTGACAACCAAGAACAAGAAAGTCTCCCAAATTCTCTTAAACCAACCCAAAACTATATATTGGCCCTTTGGGCTTGACACCATACCCCAGCCTCTAGCCTGAAGTTCTGGATGGGAAGAGAGATTGAAGTTGGCGCTTTGAGCTTGGATGACCTCTCTTGGTCCCAGACTTGGGGAAGAACCACATTGCTTGGTCCTGAGGAGGTAATGACTTGTTCTTCCAGAGGAGAGTGGAATTCCAACCCCTCATCTGCAACTACCTGTGGGCCTTGCCTTGGGACCAGCACGGGAGAAGTTGGCAACAGAGGAGCCTCCAGAGAAGAGGGCTGTGCTAATGAGCCCTATGGACCCACCTCGACCCAGTGCACCCCCCAGTTTCCTGCCCCGCAGCAAAGTTCCCTTGAGGGGTGAGGAAGGGCTTATTGATGAGGGGTCTTCAGTCCTATGCACTGAGGGAAGATAGACCCATGACCTGATAGGTATTGAAGGTGGGCAGCCAATTCCCTCTATAGACAAGTGTGATTACAGGTATGGGGGCTAAAGTGAAATGTGGGCCATCTATAGAAATGGGGGACTTCTAAGTCTGAAATCTGATTCCCTGAAATGTGACTACTCCCCCTCCTGGACAGAAGAGCGGCTGGATGGGCCCCTCAATCTGGCAGGCAGTGGCATCAGCAGTATCAACATGGCGCTAGAGATCAACGGGGTGGTCTACACTGGTATGGGTACTGTAGGTTGTCTACACTGGCATGGAGTCAGGGGTATTTAGACTAGCATGGGGGTTTTAAATTTTTCTCTACTAGCATGAGGTTCAGGGATAGCTGAACTTGCATGGTAACATGGGGTTCAGGGGATTGCTACACTGGCATGGTTTCAAGGGTGTGTTTATGGCATGGGGTCCAAGGCATGGCCTCTGTGGCGTGGTGATCATGGGATATCTGCCTTGTCATGGGCCTATGTATTAGTGTCAATATTTCTTTTTTACCTGTTTGAGGGTATCTGCATTGGCATAGGAGTTTCTCACTGACCAGAGGGACTTGTCCTCATTGGTTTGTGACAAGGGTATGTGTGTGGTGCTCTAGCAATCAAGACACTTACTTTTGTTCCTTTCTGTTTCTGTGTCCCACCCTCTCCTGCTTGTGTTTGCTTTTTGCCATTTCCTCACCCCTTTGCCAGGTGTTCTCTTTGCTCGCCGCCAGCCTGTGCCAGCTTCCCAGGGCCCAACCAACCCTGCACCCCCACCTTCTACTGGGCACCCTTCCAGCACCTTGCCCTGAGAGCTCCTATTCAGAACTAAGAGTCCCAGCTCCATTGCTGAGGGGGGAGGAGGCACCCTTCTGCCTTGATTCTTTCAGGATGCTCACTCTGGGACCCAGCCCTGGGAGATGACCACACCCCACCTCCATGCCAAAAGGTTTTCTTTTGACGTTCCATCTACCTCATTGTAAAAGGAGGGCACCACCTCCTTAGTCAATTCCAGCAGCATCTACCAAAGGATTCTTCCAGAAGCAACCCCCATAATCTTGTCATATGCCCTTTGTGTCAATATCATCTTTGGCACATAGCCTTTCAGGAGCCAGGTGAAGGGTTGGATTGGGTGTTGTTGAAGATGTCCCTCAGGTTACATTTCCTAATAAAGTTGTGCTCCCTCCCACTCCAGTACTTCCTCTTCTTGTTTGGTCTGAATGGGGGTGGGGGGGAGGAAGGATGTGCTACACAGGCAGCATTAGATGGGGGAGGGGGGCTCTGAGGAGAAGGCAGAATAGCAAAACTCCGTGAGAACAGAAGAGCATTGAATCAGACTGCTCGAGTTCAAATCCCGATTCTTTTACAATAGTGCTGTCCGGCCTTGGGCAAGTCACTTAGTCTCTTGAATATTAAAAGTTTCATGGACTTTTAAAAGTCCATGAGCCCTCCTACTGAGTTGTCTATGGGAATGGACCTATCGCGGAACAGTGGGTATATTTATATGTACAACCTTAGGGAAAGGGGTGGGGGAAAAGTCTTTGGTATGAAATTAGAAGAAGAAAGGAAAAGTCTTGATAACCAGGCGCTGGAAGCCAGGGAAGGGACCGGTGAGATAGCGTCACCAAGGTAACTAGACAGCTTTTGACATCTTTTACCTGCCGGTCTGGTCACTTCTGGCATTGAATGTCTGGATCAAGGCGTCACTTCCTGCACACAGGGCCATCCGTGCACTCGGATTGGCCAGCCTTCCTCCTTGGGCGGACGTCCCACCCTCTGAGTCTTCCGCTGCTGAGGTGGGGCGGTAGTGGCGATGGAGGCTCTGACGGACGTGCAGCGGCTACAGGCCCGAGTAGAGGAGCTGGAGCGCTGGGTGTACGGGCCGAGCGGGGCGCGCGGCACGCGTAAGGTGAGAGCTCCGGTCCGGTGGTCCGTTTCTGCGGCAGGGCAAGAGCAGTCCACTGGTCCGGCACTCTGGATGGATGCAACGACTCCAGTCCTGTGGTCCACAGTCCAGCCTTTGAAATAACAAAGGTCCGGGACATTCTGAAGCCTCTCGTACCCTCAGGGTTCATTCCCATGGTGGGCTCTGAGGATAAGTACGTCTTTTTGAGATGGGCTCAGTGACAAGTGTAACTAAGACTCCGCCACTGTCCTTGCAGGCTAGTTGGGGAGACCTGACACCTTCGAGAAGCTAATGAGAGTTTCAATAGGAGTTGAAGTCCACAATAGAAGTGCCATCCCGGAGCCCTCCGTAGTTAGATGCTAAATGAATTGTGCAGGTAGAGGTCCATGGGACGCCAAAGGAGGCCCAGCAGAGGTGGATAAGGGGTGAGAGGTGGCGGTCTGAGAAGGGCAAGAATAGAAGTGTCAGGGTTTGGGTACTGGGTGTTCAGATGCTGGTCGGCACTCCACACCAGTGATTAAATTTTGACAAGTGTGAGAGCCAGTTGCCCTCTAATCCTTTTTTCTACAATTGGAAACCCAATTACTGAATAACTTCTGGTTCACTGCCAGGATATTCTGGAACTAAGTGCATCATAAATAGTGCTGTTTGTACGGCTTGTGGAATTGGTCATCACCAGCAGATTGTTTTCCCATTTGAAAATTAACTCCCCAAACTTAAAAAATTAACTCTCTGTCTTTGGCGTCTATGACTCTAGCCTGCCTGATATTTCTTCTATCTCTTTGGCTGTTGTTTTCAGTCTTATTTGCCTACCCACATATTTGACCCTAGAATATTAGCATTCTGTACTCAAACCCTAAAACCTGGGTGAGCTCATTCACTTCCATAGTTGCCTCCTCTATTTAACCAGTGAATAGTGAAACTTCTCACCTTCTACCCTTAAATCCTAGGTGGGCCAATTCACTCCTATAGTTTCATTTACTCCTTACTTGCCATTATGTCTCAAATGTGTATCTCTGGTTAAAATTTCTGTTCTGAGAACCTGATTTAACATCCATTTGTCTTCCACACTTTTCCATTTGAATAATCAACAGACATCTCAAACTCAGTCCATATGCTCTTAACTGTACTCTACCTCTCCCCAACCTGATTCTTTTATATATGCCCTAATACAGGGATTGAAGCATCTTTGGGATCCTAGATGTCTTCTATGATCTTCCATTCTCCACACTAGAGTTGATGTGGAGAGGATGGGGCTAGAGATAGGCCGGTCACTCCAGCAGCTCGTACAGTCATCCAGGCATGAGATAATGACAGCCTGGAGAAGATTTTGCATCTCTCATGCCCAAGGATTTAGGAACCAGGGAATATGTAATATATGCTGGTTCTGTATAAACTCTAAAGTAGTTAATTGTCTACTGAAACAGACTTGAAACTCCCCAAGAAATTTATGATTCTTTTCCTTTCCCATTAAGGATTCCCTGAAGCTGGGCTTCATCTTCAAAAGAAGGGGACCAAACTAGATTACTGGGACTCAGAGGTTTTGGAGTCTGGGAGAATGAGGGTTCTTTACTTCTTCCAAGCCTTGAGCCAGGTGGTATATTTTTCAATTAACTTCCATTCCCCTTACAGGTGGCTGATGGTCTGGTCAAGGTGCAGGTGGCTTTGGGGAACATTGCCAGTAAAAGGGAGAGGGTGAAGATTCTGTACAAAAAGAGTAAGTGCTTCCACAGGGTCCCTACTTGCTCTACTTTCCATCCCTGTGCTTCCTGGAACCTGACCCTGGTCCTTCAGCCAGCAGGTCACTAGAGTAATTCTTTGAAGACAGAAAAAATGTGAAGATGTTTCCCTGCCAAATTGGTGAATTGCGGTGTGCTTTTCTTCCTTATGAATAAATCTCAAGCCCATGCCAGGGTCTTAAGTTTTGTGATGAGACCTCTTACTGAAAGCTTCCCTTGGTAAAGGAGGGAAAGAGTATATGAATTTTCTTTAGATGAGGATAAGAGAAGGAAAGAAATGAGGCACTGAGAATCCCAGCCTTGGTTCAACCAAGCCTTTTATGTTCTGTTACAGCTAGTAACCTGCTCAGTAACTAGAAATCAAAACAAACCCTGGCTTGTCTAGGCATTAAGGAAGAAAGGAACCTTCCACCCTTGCTAAGGATCAGTGGCAGTGCTAGGGACCCGTGAATGGTGGCAGCAGTTGTGTTTCCAGCTCTAGACTCTGAGGTCAGCCAGCAGGTAGGAAGAGTGGAGAAACAGGGAAGAGGAATAGGGGACTTGGTAGATGCTCCTGATGCAACACTATAGGTGTCAGCTCATCTTTCAAAGCTCTCTCCAAGGATGACCACACCCAAAATTACTTTATAAGACAGAGTTCTATTTCCCCACCATGTCTATTTTTCATCTTCCTACTTTTCTAGTTGAAGACCTGATCAAATACCTGGATCCTGAGTACATTGACCGCATTGCCATACCTGATGCCACTAAGTTGCAATTCATCTTAGCAGGTAATGCTGGACTATGTGTGTACATGCATCTGAGGATGTGGGTTGTGGGGGATATGGGGCATAGAGAGAGTCTCCCTCACCCATCTTGACATGGTACAGTTCAGAGACTGCTCTCTGGGATTTGGGCCTGGTTCTGAACTAAAGCCTGAGGTGATCTGTGGATCCAGTAGTAGGCACTGAATGCAGTGTACCTCTGGGCCAGCTGCAGGCCATGGTGCCAGCCACAGCGGGAGTTACTCAGTGTTCTATCAATGGCCTATCCCTAGAATTTTCCTTCCGAATCCTCATTCTGCTCACTGGATAGAGGATCTCCTAAGGAAAAAATGGGGGCAGGACCATTGTTATTCAGGAAAAGGGAGAATACTGGTATGAGTTTCAACATTTTTCTTTCATGTGAAAAATCTCCAGTATTTCAGAATTCTAGGCAGAAATATCAGTCATCCACTACACAGCTAGGATTTTCTGAGCACCTGTGTTTGTTCATTCATCTAGAACATATTCAGCTGGGCATGGTAGCAAGCACCTGTAGTCCTAGCTACTCAAGAGGCTAAGGCTGGAGGATTGTGAATTCAAGGTCAGCCTAGGCAACATAGTGAAACTCTGTTCCCCCTACCCCATCCCACTGCCCACCACTGAGAGAGAGAGAGAGAGAGAGAGAAGACATTCAATGATTATCTGCTGTGGATCCAGGCATTATCCTGGATGAGAGACAAACAATGGTGAACCAGGGCACAATAAGAGCAAGAGGAGGCAATCCCTATTCTAGGGACCTGAGTTTGTAACCTAGGTGGGTAATGTAACACTGAGGTCTAGGTAAGGAAGGACACCTGTGATGAAAGGGCTGTTAGAATTCCCAAAGGGCTCCTGAGCAATTTCCATGGTTCAGGAGATCTTCCTTTGCACTGACTCTTACCCTAGCCTCTCTCCCTCTCTTCCTATGACACTGCCTCAGGGGGTGTAAATCTAGTCACATGCGAGAAGTTACACAATCTCCCAAATCATCTTCTTGCTTTAGTCCAGTCTCATCTTCATAACACATTTCCAGCAAGTCAGTTGCCTGCTTCAAATTCAGTGTCTCCTCTCCTTGCTAGCATAAAATCCTAATCTTTTAGCCTGCCATTCAAGGTCTTCTAGTCTATAGGGCCTGTCCTGTCATCCAGCTCTGTTTTTTGTGCTCTGCCTTTTTCAGTTCAGCTAACTGAATTCTTTTTTTTTTTTTCTTTTTAATTGTAGTTGGACACAATACCTTTATTTATTTATTTTTTATGTGGTGCTGAGGATTGAACCCAGTACCTTGCATGTGTTAAGCGAGTGCTCTACCACTGAGCCACAACCCCAGCCCTAATTGAATTCTTTTTCCCTTAATGTCAAGCACTCCTGCCTCTAGTCATTTGCATGTAACAGTGCTCACTTTCCTTTCTTTCTTTCTTTTTTTTTTTTTTTGGTGATATTAGAGATTTAACCCAGGGCAGTTTGCCACTGAGTATACCCCCCAAGCCCCCAAGCCCTTTTATGTTTTTTTGGGGGGGTACCAGGGATTGAACCCAGGGATGCTTAACCACTGAGCCACATTGTCCCAGCCCTTTTATTTAGAGACAGGGTGTTGTTAATATTTTAGTTAGAGACTGGGTGTCCTTGAGTTGCTTTGGTCCTCACTAAATTGCTGAAGCTGACCTTGAACTCATGATCCCCTGCCTTAGCCTCTCTAGAGCCACTGGGATACAGGCATGAGCCACCACACCTGTCCTATATCTTTATTTTGAGACAGGATCTTACTAA